CGGCACACTAGTGTGCCGCGGAACAGTGGTTGAAAAACACTGCACTAGAAACTAAATTCATCCCACACAAGCGCTGCTACGTTTTACTGACAGCAACAGTCTTCAGGGAGAACCCTGTTACTGACAGAAGAAATTCAACGCTAGCTCATTTTAAGTACCTGTGAAGAGTTTTTAAAATGAAATTACACAAAGCACAGAAGCTATTTAAAGTGTAAGAAACCCCCTTGTGAAAGGAAAACCCCATCCCCAGGCAAATTTGGAATAATTCCACAAAAGTGGGAGGAACCAAGAGACACTGCGAGCGTGGCTGAGTGTGGAGATGAGGTCTAGTGCATTGTTGCCAACTGAATGATTTTTTAAGCAACTTTTTCTTAAAGGCTACTAGCAACAAATCTTTAGGCTCTTTTCTGCTATTAGAAACTTTCTCTCTAAAATGTGAAGCACCCATCACTGCTGTAAGCCCCTCCTACTTCCTATGGTTATGCTTGTGTCATTGAGTCAAAGCCTAGAAAGTGCATCATGGAAGATGCTCCAGTGTGTTATTATATCAATTCCTGTTGAGAAACCAGCAGGTCAAACCTTTACTATAACCAGACATTTTTAAATCAGTCACAAACTTCTGATCAGTAAAACTGAACCAGAATTAAGAGCTCACAGTATCACCATAGAAACAACCCTTACCAGCACCTGTCCTCTTTGTCTTGTCGTCTTCTCCTTCTGCATCCTTCTTCTCCCAAGACACCGTTACCGTGGGGACATTTCTTTTTACCTCAATGTCCACCTGAAGATCTTAAAAGAAAAAGAGGAAAAGAACTTTGCATTAATTATTGGACTGTCAAAAAGCTGCTGTAAAGTAGGCGTTTCACTAAAAATCTTGCCATTTTGATCTTAATCAACTTATTTGTATTTAAATAAATGAACCCTATGCTATTTGTCCTTATTAATAAAGCTATTATTATTCTTGATAATGTGTCCAGATTGAATTGTGTGTATTGTGACAAACATATCTCAGATCCGGTTTGGAATACCTCTCAGAGTTGCACGTTATGAGTCACAGTACCTTGTTCGTCTCCACTCTCCTCCTGTCGCATCTCCACTTCTGTGTTCTCTTCTGGCTGCCAATCTGGTACAATGAAATGATTTTATTACTATCATGCAAATGAAAAAATGTGAGTATACTTCATATAAAGCATTAAGATAAAATTACCTACCATTATTGTGTGTGTTCTCTTCCTTTGTGTTCTCTTCCTTTGTGTTGTGGTTTTGGCTTTCTTTTTGTCTCTTATTCTAAGAAAAGAACCAAACAAAAGAAAAACAAAGTTATGGGTCTGCATTGCTGGCTGTTTGTCAGTCAAATCGGGTTTTATAAATGTGCATGCTGATGTCTTTAAATCTAACATTTGAAAGCGGTAAGTTCACTCACCAAGAGCATTAAAAAAAATTGGATGCTTTTTTAAGTTTTTGATAGATTTCCAGACCGGTGATGGGAATGTTCATGACTTGATTTACAAAGGCTAAGAAAATTATTTTTGCCATCTTCTGAACTTGGAGGTGGGTAGACTTTTGACACTGCACCCTAAGCTATCAGATAATCCTTCATCTTTCCTACAAACTGGACCGTATTAAAATTTTGGGTAAATTTTCAACACTTAAAAAAGGCCATCCCTCCAGAGATCAGTGTTAGGAACCTGCACATATTTTCCAGCTTAACAGCACAGGCTCCACTCTTTCCTCCTGTTCACAATTATCAGGTCTTTCATTTGTAACTTAACTGTATCTCTTTTCTAAGTTTTGGATTAATGTCTAACTCCTTTTTTTTTTTTTGGTGGTTCTTCAGAAATTTGTCTTTCCCTTGTGTTTTTTTTCAAAATCTCCTGGATCCCACAAAACAATAGTCTCCTTTTGTTTCAGAGTTTGAAAAATGAGGATGCTAAATAGCTTCACAAAAGTATTTATTTTATGTATGCATAAATCTGGAGAAATAAGGCATGTCACCAACAGAGATCTGTATGACAATTTGTTCCAAGTTTTCTAATATTTTGCTAACACGTTTAATATACTTCCATCTATATCGTTGTCTCAAAAAGCGACTAAAAAACGTACAGGTCTATAAGTAACAGAATGGTAGTAATAATAGAGTTAATAGAGTTATCGCCACTAAAAAATACATTTAACTTGTTACGAAATTCTAATATCTAAAATAGTTATTTCACGCAGACGTTCCATGTTTTTTTTTTTTTAGCTAAGATGCTAAATAACAAGCTAACTTGTTAGCTTGACGGTTTACTTACAACAGTTAAGTTACGTTGTCTACAAATGCCGCCAGCAGCAGTTAATATGAACATAAATACCATTCTTACTTGTTTCTTTGCCATGTTATGCTCCAACAGAAGGCGTAGACAGAAAAACACACGTGTGGGTCAAATGCAATTTAAGCGTATGCTACACACTGCGCATGTGTCATACTAATCTACGGATGCCGGCAGGGAGAGCGCGGTGCTGTACCGGTGCGTACGCGAAAACTATAAATGAACCGTTTGTGAATTCCTCCTTTAATGACAACCGTCGACGTTGTAAACTCTACCTATGTAGCATATAATGGTTTATAATAGTCTCATTTTAAACTAATAATCATTTAAATATCTATTTCTAACAGTTAGCCATGTAGCTTTAGCTTGAATCTAATAGTCTCCCTATGTATTCACCACCCAGTCTGTAGAGACTCTTCGGATACGTAATCGTGTTAGCTTTTCTCACAGATTTCCAGGATGTCGGTACGTTATTAGCGGATATTGTAGCTTTGTTTGCCCGGAAATGTAATCTACCGCCCTATATTTGTTTCTGAGCAGGTTGGACTGGAACTGAACGTCCAAAGAAACCAAAGTCCAGGGTTCGAGTTACAGTCTGATCAAGTCCCACCATCTGCACAGGCTCAAAACAGAGCCGGTGGGAGCTGACCATGGAGGACCCGGGATTCTTCTGAGAAACACTCGATACATCTAATTAGGGTTTTCTTTTTGTAAACTCATCTGATGTTTACAATGATGGGCAGTCGGAGAAACGGCTTAACGAAGGAAAGCTTTATCCTGTCGGTGGACGTCGGTACAACGTCAATCAGATGTCATGTATACGACAAGGAGGCGAGGATCCGAGGATCATGCACAAGCAAGGTATTATATTTACATCTAATAGATTCTTCAGTTTTTACCCGCTATCTTCATAGGGTTGTAAACTTTCAAATGGGATTGTATGTGGTACAGTAACAGAAAGTACTACATAATAACAAACTGAGATGTTTGTCCATTCTTCATTGCAAAATAGCTCAAGCTCTGTCAGATTGGATGGAGAGCATCTGCATCTAGACTTTGATTGGGCCGTTCTAACATATAGATATATTGTGATCTAAACCTTTTCACTCTAGCTTTGGCTGGGTTGTTGTTAGGGCTGGACAGAAAAGCAATATCACGACAGACACTTGATCAAGATATGACAGAATTCAGATCCAGAACTGATGGATCTGAACTCAGGGCCAGAACCGCCTAGCATTCTGGGGGATGTAGGCAGAGGAAATCCTTTAGTCCCTCAACCTCTCAGGGCTAAGCAAGCATAGTTGGTGGTATGAACTAACTAACATGTTTCTTAGTTACTTAGCAACAAGTTGTTGAGTTGCACCGCTTTGTGCTGCTTTATTATTTAACACACTAACAAAATGCCCTGCAAATGTAGAAATGTAGAAAGGTTATGAAGTATTTTAAGTGTTTTGCAGATCTTTGCATAAACCTGTTTCTCTGCCACATTTAAAGTCAGATTATTCCCTGTGATTGTTCCAGGTTGTCCCGTTGTATCCAGAGGTGGGACATGTGGAGATGGACCCAGATGCATTGTGGGAAGGCTTTATCACTGTGGTCAAAGGAGCAGTGCAAGGTACAGCTGCACGACGTCCTGTTATCGAATCCATCTGGAACTGTGTCAGGGCAGCAATGCCAACAGGATCAAGCAGCTTCAACTGTTCCAGTATTACACTGATATTTTTGCTGCGCTCCTGTTACAGATGCAGGAGTCCAGATGTGCCAGATGGAGGCCCTCGGCATCTCCACTCAGAGAGCAACCTTCACCACCTGGGACAGGTCAGAGAAATGAAACAGCCTGGCAGTTTGTCATTCATTGAGAAACTGGAAAGTGAGCAAGAGCGCTTCTGGTTTGACTTTTCTGTAATTCCTCTTCTCTCTCGTTGTGTTTGAACTTTAACAGGAGGACAGGGGTTCCTTTTCACAACTTCATCAGCTGGCAGGACCAGAGAGCTGCAGACCTGGTGAAGTCTTGGAACAGGTCCTGCATCATGAAGGTGGGTCTCCATCCATCCATCCATCCATCCATCCATCCATCCATCCATCCATCCATCCATCCATCCATCCATCCATCCATCCATCCAGAGGCAGGTCCATCACAGGGCTCCTTGACATCTCTACCTCTTATATATCTTTAATAAACATCACATAAGAAAGTATATTTTCATTATTTATGTAATCATATAGGGATTTGAATGTTTAAATATTTTAAGTTAATTTTTTTAAATGAGATTTTCCAAGAAGCTCTTAGACTTGTACTATTTAAAGAAGCACAAATAAATCCTCTTTTCTTTGTTAAGAAAAGATGTTCTCTGGAATAAACTGATTTATTGACAAGTAATCACAAAAATTAAGATAGTTTAGCGCAATAATTTCTGTGATGCGATAAAACCTATTAAAAAATGACTATTTTTAAAATGACTGTTTTTATGGCCATTAAAAATACTTGATAACTATTTTTAGTCATGAAGTAGGTATTTAAATCACCTGCTTTATCTATATACATTAGATTGATTTGTTTAGACGACAATACAGTGTTTGTCAATAACACAAAGTTTTTCACAATGCAATTCCAGGCTTCCAGTTCTGAAGTGCAAAGTATCTTAAATTTTACAATATAGAGCAATATTTACATGTAGCATTAATCTAATTGGCTTGTTTATTAATTAATCCATATGGATTGAGATTTTAATCTAAAGACATAAATAGAAAGTTGTGTCTCATAACTGAAGAAAAAAGTTAGCATGCCTCGTACCATACCAGCTGGTGTTAGCTGAATTGAATTAAGAAGCTTCACTTCCACCTCCTCGTCTTTTCTGGAATGCTTTGCTTTTTCCTCTGTTCTGGGGTCCAAATGAGGATCAGCCATGATTCCAGAAGTCTTTGTCTTTGTTTACGTTGTTCCTGGTTAACATTATTCTGGCCTTCTTACAGAACAAAGGTTTCCTTCCTGCACAGCGTCCTTGATAGTTAAACTAGTGTATCTCTCTGATTGTACAAGTATCCACCGTCATATCAACAGTAGCAGCAGCCTGCTGCTGGTCCCATGAGGATATATTAGAGGTTTTAGAGGTTTGGTAACTTCCTTTAGGATCTTGCTGACTGCTTTCAGGGTGACGATCCAGACCTGGGAATGTTTTCTGCTTATAAACCGTTTTCCCAGACATTGGAATTGTTAAGTGTAATTATTTTAGATCTCTTTAAATCCCTTACTGAAAATACTGAGTAACTGTGTTCTCATCATGTCCACCCATTGTGATACACCAGTAAGTGATTCATAGGGTGGGGGCTCATGTTTGTCATTTGGAGCAGCAGCCTGAAGGGGGCGTAGAAATGGGTATTTCATCAACAAGTTCTGCAGGTTAAGCAGCCATTTTTAACTCTGTTTCCATCCAACAGCCTAAATATTGTACTGACTGCAGAGTGGAAACGATTCATCTCATTTCAGGCCCATTTATTGAGATATGAATTGACTATTGAGATAATTGGCAACTAATTTAGTCATTGATTAATCGTTAAAGGGAATATGCAAGTAAAACAAACAAAAAAAAAGCCAATTGTTAAAAGAACAACAAATTCAGGGCAGTAATTAAGCAAACATTTTACAAAAATGTACATTTTGCATTTAAAAATACTAATAATAAAACTTCTTTGTCTGTAATGTGTTCTAACCAGATCTCCTTAAGTATCATAGTTTTATTATTGTTCTGCTTAGCAGATTTTGCTATACAATTATCATTTGGTTAATCAAAAACAGTACAGTGGGTACATCATGGAACTAAACTAGCAGCTACCTGCCACTGATTGGCTGATAGCAATTTGACTTTGACTTGGGTTTTAGATAAGCATGACTGAGCTGGAGCTGAACACGATGACCACTCATTCACTCTCTTTTTATCTTTATTTTTATTCCTCAACACTCTCAGATAATCCACGGTGCAATGAAGGTAGCCTACTTCCTGACGCGGGACAAGCGGTCACTCGCAGCGAGCCTCATCGTCTTTTCCACTCAGCACGTCACCTTTCGCCTCATATGGGTCTTGGCCCACTACAAGCAGGTGTGTAGATGACCCGGCTGGTGAACACAACAGGAAGTTTAAATGAAGCTCTGCTGATGTGTTTCTGTTTTCTGCCAAGCTGGATAAAGTAAAACCCACAAGCATGTATTAAAACGATATGTCTCCAGAGGGTTTGAGCTCTAATGCTGCAAAGGTTTTAGATCTCTTACAAATTGTGTTCTGTTTTTTTTTTTTTTTTTTTTTTTTTTTTTTTTTTTTTTTTTTTTTGTAATTTTTAAAAATTAAGTGGGGGGAAAAAACAAGCAAACATTAACATGAAGGCTAACCTGAGTTAATGTAGAATGCAGTTTGATCTGGTCCTTTGCGAAAAAGAATTCCCCCTCCTTTACTTTATCACAATATTTAGCCAAAATCTTTTTTAAAATTGTCCAAAATCAGAATTGGCAGGTCAGGGTGTTTGAAAATTATCCAGGGATCACCCAGGAAACTACAATCGGTGCAACTCTAAATTTTTTAGAAGGTGCTTCATCATTCACTAGCTTTATATTTAAAATAACATTTTATTAACAGTTAAACATGGTGGTGGTTGTGTGATGGTCTGGGCTTGGCTTTCCAGCTTTAGGACCAGGACGACTTGTCATAACTGATGGAAACGTGAATTCTGCTGTCTAGCAGGAAATCCCAAAAGTTTGAGGACTTGAGGTCAAGCTGGGTAATACAGCAGGACAGTGACATAAGCACCTCGGCCATTTTAGCCTGAATTGCTCCAAAACACAAAGTGAAAGCCTGGTTGCTGACTGTTCATGCTCAAACGTCCCCACTGGGCTGAATTCAAACAATCCTGCTAAGAAAAGGAGACCAAGAGTCCCACTGATATGTAAAGGACTGCCTGTCTGGTCCTAACAGCTGGTTTGGGTTACTTTTTTTTCTTTTTACTATTAATAAATGAAATCACCACTTAAGAACTGTTTTTGTATTAACTCTGATTATATTTCACTAAATTTGTTTAGCCATCTGAAACAACACTTTTTCACGGCACTACAGTTTTTAATGAGAGCAGCATAAGGACATGATCTCAGTGTGGCTCATTTTCCAAACCAACTTCCACACCGGGTCAATAATCCCAGCAGGAACAGACTGTACTTCTCCTCCTCCTCTTCCTCATCATGTTTTCTTTTTCCAGGTCCATCAAGCGATCGAAGAAGGCAACTGCTGCTTTGGAACCATAGACACCTGGCTCCTGTTCAAACTCACCAAAGGTCGGTGTCAGTCAGTCAGTCAGTCAGTCAGTCAGTCAGTCAGTCCGTCCGTCCGTCCGTCCGTCCCACGTAGACACAGAGAGCATTTGTAGAAATGTGTGATCCAAACCTGCCAGTTTGACTCCGTGGACTTTCTAACAGGATATTAAGGTGCAGACAGGGCGCTCTTTGTCTCGCACATTTCTCTTGCATCGCTGATTGCTTGCAATTTCTGAGGAATGTTTCAACCCTCTGCAGGAGGGGAAGTGGAAAACAAACGATTAAGACTTTTTTTTCCCAGACAGTTCCTTCACATATTGCTGCCTAATCTGTTTCAGGTCGTGTCCACGCCACAGACTACTCCAACGCCAGTTCAACGGGGATTTTTGACTCCTACCAGGTGTGGTACATCATGTTGCTGCTTCCTTTGTGCTCAGCATGGTGGGGTTACTATAGTTTTTTTTTTTTTTACCTCTCTGTCATGTGTTGTTTCACAGATGTGCTGGAGTCAGTTTCTCTGCTCTCTCGTCTCTCTGCCCCTCTCAATATTCCCCCAAGTAGAAAATACAGGGTAAGTTAAAACTTCACTACACGTCATGACGTTTCAGCTTCTGGTCAGTAGAAGTTTTTACCGCTGGAAGAACAGAGAGACATTGAAAACAAGATGAACATCAATCTGAACTGTGTGGCCGACTTCTGGTTTTTGTAAAGCTTTTCTCTCCTGGAGGTGTGGGGTTGCTGATCAGGCTTGGAATTTATTCCCAGCTTGAATCTGGCAGAAAATCTGTGGGAGGATCTAAAGATTAGGGTGATGGGAAGGAGGCCTGCCAACGTCACAGCTCATCACCAAAATCCCCATGGGAACAGCTACTCAGCAATTAGAAGAAGGCTTCGATCGGTGTGATGCTAATCAAGATGTTTCCACTGATTATTGAAAGAAGTATAAATCATCAACATGACATTTAAAAAGAAAATGCACATAAAAACTGTTTTTTATTGTTTCTATTGATTGGCGCTTCTGCATTGTTTTGCTGCGGTTTATGTACAGACTTCTAAAATCAATTTCAAAGCTAAAACTGCTGGAGGTATGACTACATTTAGACTTAAAGGGGCAGTATAGTGTGTTTTCAAGGCACATATTGACATTTTACAGCATAATCAAGTAACTATGTTACCTTCAGTTATTATAAAATGCTATATATATATCAGATATGACTAAAAATAAATTTTGCTTCCTGATTTCACACCTTAAAATCTCCACCTTCAGGAAGTCATCACAACATGGCTCTATTAACCCCTTAACATTTTTACCAGAGTTGCACTGACAGGTAGCTCGTATAATGAGCTGCCAGTTCTACGAGGTATTTGCTAATTGCTGCTGGCTAGTCTGAAGGAGCAGAGCTGGTTAGGCCTACTCTGTGAGGCAGAAGCTTTGACACTGCAGCTCAAAAGAGACAATTTTACATAACACTGCCCCTTTAACTGTGTGGGAAACTTTTTTTTTTTTACTAGGTTGTAGGTGGATTTGATTTAGATTTTTCTTTTTAAAGATAATGACTTACTAATATCTGTGTATTAATAACATAACCTCCTTTCACACTGGTAAACCAGTGAGGTGGAAACATTAACAGGTAGTTGGACAGGCTTGTGTGGTGTGGTGGGGGGTGAAGGGTCTAATAATACTTTCACCATGTTTTTATGATGAAGCGTATTGTACATTATGTCATGTTCCCGGTCCGGTTCCTGCATTAGAACAGATTGCTGATGGATGGGACGAGAGCAGGAGATAATGTGTTGTCTCTGGTTTCTGTTTTCATGATCCATCAGCCATAAGTTCGGCTCCACAGATCCGTCCATCCTCGGAGTGTCCGTTCCCATCATGTCAGTGGTGAGTGAACGTTCCTGGCATCACAAACCAGCAGCAGCATGAATATGATAAACAGCCACAATGAAACTGTCTCATTTGTTCCTCCATATCTCAGTTACTGTGTTGTTAAAATGCAAAAAAAAAAGTACTTGGTAAAATTTTCACTCAGGCATAGTTTAATTAGATATTCAAAGCCCATTTTATTGGTGATAGTGACCTCATCTCCTGCTTTTCTATGTCTAATTGCTCCATTTAAATTACAGAGTGATGTTTTTGTTTGTACATCCTCGCTTCCTGAGCACTGACCACTCTTTGCTGCTCTTTTATCAGCAATGTTTTTGTATCAAGAAGAAACAGAAACACTGGGTGAAATGTATCATCTATAGAAAGACAACATAAAGTCGTAGGTAATAGTGGCCCCCTCCAGGAAGGTTTCACAGCCAAGTAGAAACGCCAGGCTAACAGTGTAAAGTGCTTTATTTGTTGGCTCCATCCATCCATCCATCCATCCATCCATCCATCCATCCATCCATTTTCTAGTGGTGTTGGGAGGGGTGCCGGTGCCTACCTCCAGGGAGACATTTTGAGGCAGGGTCACCCTGAACAGGTCGCCAGTCTGTTGCAGGGCATTATTGGCTGCAACTAACAATTATTTTAGTAATCGATTATTTTATAAAAAAAATTTTGACTATCAATCAATGAACTAGATAAAGAAATCGGCACATCCTGCTGATTTTTTTCATTTGGCCTCTTAAGACAATATTGAAAATACATTAAAAAAGACCAATAAAGTTATACTGCTTTTTAAAAATAAGATAAACATTTAATAGCGTGGAATACAATAACAACTGTCCTTTAATAAATCAGGTAAAGCTACAACTACGCCATTTGAGTTCTGGGTAGAACAGATTTACAGACAAAGATGATTTTTATCCAAAATGCAAAGTGTATATATAGTGTATATATATTTTGTACAGTTCTTTCATCAATTGTCTTTTACTTCAATACTTCAATGAACGATTAATCAGTTACTAAATTTGTTAATGATTAGTTAATGATTAATCACGATTAATCGTTTCAGCCCTACTTAAACATCAGACACATTCTAAGTTTGGTCAAAACAGTCGTGAAGTCCCGTTGATGGGATGGGAGTCTTGGCGTTTTTCGTTCCTGCTCCATAAACTCGCTCTGCCCTCCGGTGGCAGATGGCGGACCAGCAGGCGGCCATGTTTGGAGAGTGCTGCTTCGATGTGGGCGACGTGAAAATCACGATGGGAACCGGCACCTTCATGGACATCAACACTGGGAGCAAACCACACACGTCTGTGGCAGGTAGAGGAGCAGCACATGTTTTATTTTTTATTTTTTTATTTTTTTATTTATTTTCATCCAGATTTTAATCCTGCTGGATTATTCCAACCCGTCTACTGCAGGTCTGTATCCGCTGGTGGGGTGGAAGATCGGCTCAGACGTCGTTTACCTGGCAGAGGGCAATGCAGCAGACACGGGCACTGCCATCAAATGGGCCCAAGAACTTGGTGAGGACTGAACTGGGTCGCTTATTGTAGAAATGTTTTGTATTTTTTCTTTAAAAATCCAATAATTATTTCTCTTCACTTCTAAAATGACATTGCAGAACTTTTCTCAGACGTCAGAGAGACCAGCGACATGGCTTACAGTGTCAGCGACTCGGATGGAGTATGCTTCGTCCCTTCCTTCAGCGGCCTGCAGGTAAATGCACTCATTTATTTGTTGCTAACATATGACGTATTATATTTTTATGCACACGCCTATCTCCATCTCTAAAAAAAGCACATTCGTTGTGGTAATGGTTTTCATCTGGTTTCTATGACAGTGTATTAGGGCCATAGTAGGTAGAAAAAAAATGAGAGAGTAGTAAATTAATCAGAAATTTTGTGATTTAAGCTCATAAATTAAAAAAAAAAAAGAACTCTGAAATTGTGTAAAATTTCTTACTTTTTTTCCAGAAAATTTCTGATTTTGTTTTTCTGGCAAATTTTCAAACTCAGAAATTTCCAAGTTTTTTTTTCTAGACAATTTTTTTGAACACAACATTTCTGAGATTTCTAGCAAATTTGCAACTTTTCAAGCTCAAATATTTCCTTGTTTTGTTTTTTCTGTTGTTGAAAATTTTCTTGAGATTTTTAGGAGAAATTTACTCCTCCTTTTCTTTTTTTCTGCCTACAATGGCCCTAATATGCCGCCGTAGGTTTTGCATTGTCTCTCTGTAACATGCTTTTCTTTTTTCCCCTCTGCCCTCCATTTTGAACTGGCAGTTGTAAGTGTTTTCTGCTGGATGTTGATATTTTAGTTCTGATTAGAAAATGTCTCCCCTCCCCTTGTTGTCCAGACGAATGTTGCCTAGTGACATGGCCGGCGTTCCTGCATGTTTTTAGTTTGTGTTCCTCTTCCAACACAAATCAAATGGCTGAATGACTGTGTCAACATTTCCAGGAAAAATAATAACCAAGTAGTTTTAAGTGTTCTCCATTCATTTTGTGCTTTATGTTTGAACTGCTGTATTGTATTGAGTGGAGTGATTACACAACAGTCAACTTCAGTGATTATAAAAAACAAGAACTGAGTGCTTCCCAGAAGTTTAGTTTCTGCCATCCACCTGAAAAGGTTTAGGTGTTTGTACCGCTGGCAGGGATGCAGCGCTGCCACCACCATACTTGGCTGTTGATTCAAATTTGATTTGATCAAATCAAATCAAACCAGACTTGATTTGATTTCAGGCATGAATAAATATAGTCAAAAACAAGACAAGAACGCAAAGCAAATTGTCCAAAAAGGAGTTGGTAGACATAGAAAACTTGTTGTCTTCACCCTCTTTTTTTCTTGACAATATACAGCAATAGTTTGTAACGTATTATTTAAATATTTGATACGGTATGCATCAGTTGCTACCAAAACACTTCATATCTCAGCTCCACACGTTCTGTCCCACCTGGATTTCTATATAACGACACCAATCAGTCCTCTCTCACAGCAGAGCTAAAGAGGACAATGTATAAGATCGGTTTCTCATGTAAGTAACGTCCGATCGCCCAAAATGAAGGAAATCAGAGCCCATGTATCGATGAATTTCTCCAACCATATTTTGGTCAGTGTAGCCTAACAGCTTCTGTTTCCAGCTCCTTCCATTTAAAGCCAAGCTTGAACCTCCATGGATCGAACCTCCAGCGACGATCCATGGTTCTGGATCGTCGCTGAACATCCAAAATTATTTCCTTTCATCTCAGGTTGACCTTTTCAAATGGTGACATAGACTAATAACTTGTACTTGCATCTGATTGATGAAGTTGGATGGTGCTGCTGTTTAGAAACGGCTCTAGAGGATTTTTCTCTCCCGTTGTTTAGAGTGTTTACAATGCTGAGATCTGTCATCAAGTCAGTTACTTTGGTGACAGACCAACAGAAATGACCAGCTACAGTCCATCGTGGCTTTGTTCCACTGGTCTCCCAGTTTTTATTTCATTGAAGTTGTAGTTTGTCTTTTCCTTCCACCCTGGAGAATTAATCAGAAATGCATGAAGAGACAACTGACTTGGATAGGTGGCTCGTCTTTAACCTCTGTGTGTGTCCTATTAAAGGCTCCTCTGAATGACCCCAGAGCGTGTGCTTCCCTGATGGGCCTCAAACCTTCCACGACTAAAAGCCATTTGGTCCGAGCCATTCTGGAGTCGGTCGCCTTCAGGTGATTGGCTTTAGGCAGGCTTCAAACAAATCAGCATGTACTTGTTTGAACTTGTCTCCGCCTCCTTCATGCTTACTGGTTTATCTTTCTCCTCAGAAACAAGCAGCTGTATGAGACGATGCTCAGAGAGACCCGCATCCCCATCACAAAGATCAGGTGAGGTTAATGGTCCAGTCTTACATGTGGAACCTGGATTGTATCCAGCAAGCTGGGTGTGTCAGCCTGAGCTTCACTGGACTCTGCTCCAGCTAATGCAGGCATGTTGATAATACATTATCTGGATAGATGCTCCTCTGACATAGTTACAGTGAAATGATTTGAGCGATAGCTGAGCACTCTGCTCCTCTCTGCCTCAGGGTGGACGGAGGCGTTTCCTCCAACAACTTTGTCCTGCAGCTGACTGCAGACCTGTTCGGCAGAAAGGTGATCCGGCCCCAACACCGGGAGATGTCGTCCCTGGGGGCCGCTTTTGTTGCCGGACTCGGAGTGGGTAGGCAAACACACTCATTTAAAACATAATGCCAGATTGCAAAAGCATTCGGACCTGTAGCCATTAATTCTTATTTTGGAGGGATTTGATGTGACAGACCAAGACAAAATAGTGTATGACGGAAAAGTGGAAAAAAATTATGCATGATTATTTTTTTTTCCCCACATTTCTGTTGGCTTTACTTTCTATTCAGCCCTGAGAGTCAGTACTATTACCTTGTTTCCATTGAGAGGTACATCAGGAGAAGCTGCGGTGGGGTATTCTACGGTCCGGCGTATTCAGGAGAGCCAGTTAGACTCTCCCTGGAGGTTAAACCCAAACGCCTAACTTGATGTCATACTAGTGACTAACGTGACACAAGCAGTGGCATTTTTCTGTCCCCAAATCAACGGACTGTGTTGTGTGACAAGTATGGTACGGCCTACTGTACCATTGCTTACAACTGAGAGGGGCCCCAAGAATGGTGTGGTACAGGTCGGTTGTTTGGGTTGATTTTTACAATGGAATCAGAGCATACCGTGCCGTAATGTCTCATGCAAATGAGGCATAAGTACTTCCACCTTCGGTTTCCATAACAGCTGAGAGTCTTTGGGGTTTGTCTCCACCAGCTTCCCACATCTGGATACTGGAATTTCTGACCTTTGCCTTTGTGGATGGTGATTGGATATGAACAGGAAACCTTTTCAAAGAATCTCTAATGGATTTAGGTCTGGACTTTGACTGAGCCTTTTAAAAACCTGAATGTCTTTTGATCTAAACCATTCCATTGTAGCTCTGGTTGTATGATCAGGATGGTTGAACCTCCACAGCCTTCCCTGACAGGTTTTCCTCCAGGATTGCCTTGGATTTATTGATCTCTACATCAACTCAAGCCAGCTTTCCTGTCCCTGCCGAAGAAAAGCATCCCCACAGCATCATGCTTCTACTATTATGTACCAATGTGGAGATGGTGTTTTCACGGTGATGCTTACGGCGATTTGCTTGCCGCCCCAAAAAGATAAATTTTGCTCTCGTTTCATCTGCTTGTTTGCTTTGGCTAAATGCACACAGGACTTCCAGAGGTGTTCTTTCAACAGTAAGTTTCTTCTTCTCCTCCTTAAAAAAGACCAGGTTTGTGGAGTGCTCTAGTCGTCCAGTCAACAGATTCTCCCACTTGGCATCGAATTGTGATTGATGGACAGGACTAAGATGGATATCCATCTTGGGATTTTTGCTGTACATTTCAGTGCCAGATAATGGATTGAACGGAGCTCTGTGATATCTTCAAACCGTGGCATATCATTCTAGATCCTAAATCTGCTTTAAACCTCTCCAACTTCCTCTGTGACTTCCCTGCTGTGTTCCCCCAGTCTTCTTGAAGCTGTTTGTTTGCTAATGTTCTCTAACAAACTTCTGAAGCCTTCGCTGAAAAGCTGCATTTATAATATGGCCTCTGTTTGCTAGTTGGGTGAATTTTTAAGGTATTAGACTTTATTTAGGAAGTTGGTCTGTCACATATTCCTGTTTTTGCTGTCTGTATTGGGTTTTTTATATTTCTGCATTAAATAAACAATCCCAGGAGTCTAAGATTTGGTAGGAATGTTCTTCTACCTAAATGGAGGACATAAAAAGCCACTTTGTCAAGCAGTCACTTTAATGATCCTTTTTTTTTTCAATTTTCATACTCTAAATATATTGTAACTCATGACAAGTGTTCATTTGAAAGCTCCTGATCAAAAGTCCTGTTTTTATTTTGCTGACTAGGGCCACAAAAGTAGAAATGAGTCCTGCTATTTTCTTATGTTCTATACACTTCATTATGTAATGAGATTATTGCAGATTAAGTGGATGACTAGTTTTAAGACATGCTATCTGCTTCTCTGTAGGTTTCTGGATGACCCGTGAAGAGCTGAAGAAGCTGCAGAGCGCTGATAAGGTGTTCCTGCCTAAAGGTGCTGCCGGCCCCGGTCAGGAATACAACCCCGTCCTCCAGAGCTGGGAGAGAGCCCTGAGGCGCTCCATGAACTGGTACAAGCCCTGACTGTGGGACGCACCAACAGGATGGGTCTGGACCAGAACCAATGGAAACGACACATCAGCTGCTGAGTATGCGTGAAACACAGAGCTAACCGCCATCATCTGTGTCTTCAAATGAATATAACTGTTTATCTGTGTGAATCATGGTCCACGTAATTTAAAGACACGGTACTTAAAACTGCAGCAGGTGGAGACCTGGTGGAAGGTGTACAATGGACCACAAGTTACTTGAAAATGAAAATCTTCTGAGCTTTCCAGGGAAGTCAGAACTGATCTAAGGCCCTGTTCAGTCCAGGCACTAACAACCAAACCAGGGGATCAGATCATGAAGTTAAGCATGAACCTCAGCTATTAGCTTAACTCTCCTAGTACAGACCAGAATCTTTTGGCTTTTCATTTAGAGCTTTGACTTGCTGAAAGCAGCCTTAGCAAATTCCAGTTTCTCTTTGTGAACTAAAAAAAAAAAGAAGTTAACCGAATAGTGCTTTTCTCTCATTTCTTTATCATTAGCAATCAGATATTGATTATATCAACACTGTGTGTGAGGGCTGCTGTAAAACAGGGTTTTAGTCATTTAAAGCAAAGACATTCTTGAAGTCAATGTTTTAAACCATCTTGAATCTGTGTTTAACATCTCATTGGAAAGGAAAGTAGCTAACTTTGAATCTTCTGTCCTCAGTAACCGAGGACTATTGTTAGACCCGGAAACATTTAAATATGTGAATGGATGCAGACCAGATGTTTGAATTTCTGACCATCAAACTATAAAAATCATCAGATTCTGGTCGCCTGCTGATTTCTCGGTACATCTTCAATCTTATCTGCATTGTAGTCTGAACACAAACACTTAGCTAATGGTCCACTCCTGACTTGGGATATTAGCTCCTCATTAGGTTCTTTTGGTTTTAAGAAAACTCTAATGAAACTAAATTAATGAGTAATCTATGTATCTAGCTGGAGGTAGATTTTTAGGCGAAAAAATTCTACTGTAAGACGAATACAGTACAAGCAGCAGGTTGCTGAGATCTGTTTTGGTTCATCATAATGAGACATATTTCAGTAAGAGTCAAATGGTCCAAACGTATACAAGATCAAAAATAAGTATAAAATAAGCTGAAATAAGCCTTCAGGAGATAATATATACATATTTTCATTTATATCAAGTCAAAGATAACTGCGTTTATATAGAATATCTAAACCACAGTTGGCTAAAGTACTTTATATACAAAATGACTGGCAATGAAACAACTAAAATTTCATTGTCACAACAAACACATTGATATCAAATAATTATGTTTTAAGCAGAAAGTTTGTCAGCTGTTTCTCCAGATTGAAGCACTTTTCTGACAGTTTATTTTATAATTCATATAAATATTTAGATCTGAGAAAAAAATGCTATGTAATCATTTAATTGCATTGGTGCAAAACAGTGGTTAGAGTTGACAAAAACTTCAGTCCTGCACAGAGTCTTGATGATCAAGGTATAAACCAATAGATACAGGTTGTTATTTTTGTGAGGTGAGTGTAAAAAAAACCCCACATAAACCTCCAATGTGTTCATGATTATTTTATAGTTCACGTTTTTAGGGATTTCATAGAAACATGAGACCAGCTGATGTTCCGATTGTCGCCATGGATTCTGTACAGATTTCTTGTGTTCTGACTTTTCTTTGCCACACTTTCATGATCTAGAGATTATCAACAAATTCTATTTTCAAAGATAATTTGAGTAAATAAGAAATACAGCTTTAAAATGAGAATTTCATTTATTCTCCTTAGAAATTTTCTGTCAGAGTGCAGAGTTCATGGAAATTTCCTTTTTTTTTATCATTATTATTATTTATATTAGCAAAAACAGAAGAATTTTTTATTTTTTTAATAGCAAACTGGAAACTGAGATCAGATCATTTAGGAAGCGTTTTTAAGTGAATCTTACTGCCAAGTCTGAACCGGGACCATAAAGAACCATCAGCATGAAGAAGTTCCTGCTCCACTATTTCTTCTCAACAGTGCCATTTATTCAGAAGATGACTTTATTCATTCTAGTCTAAATTGGATTTCACTTCTCAGTCTCTTTGTCTCATTAATGAAATAACAAAACCCGATGCTATGACGCCAACGACTGGCTTATCAGCTTTTAATTCATGAGTGCTCCATAGCAACAACTGAGTGCCAAATGTTTAATCCTGGGACACGAGCCAGAATCCATTCAGATTCAAGCACAAACTTCAGTTCATTTTGGATTAAAAGAAAACTGACCTGACTTCTTGATGTTTCAGAACCAGTTTTTTTTTTCTTATGAAGCTGCATTTTGGTGATTTAACATGAAATGTTTGCATAGTCATTTTAAAAAGATGAGGACCTGATTTAAAAAAAATACTTGTTTCCTTTGGGAAATTTGGAGCAACTTCATTTTAAACCCTTCGTGAATCTTTGTATATAATGTTATAATTATAATGGTGTTAAATCCTGACTCACTGTTAAAATGTGATTATTCCTCTGAACCTGTAAAAGCCACTGTACTCAGTATTTAAGCGCGTTTGTACGACATAATGATTTATAAAGACGGGATCAGGGATAGAAGAAATGATTGAACTGGCAGAAAAAAGAAACATTCCAATACTTTTCTGCTTATTATTGTAGATTTTTTTTTTCCATGTTGATGTCATATGATCAGTGTGAACTCTGATGACATTCTTCTGACATGATTGTTCTGTAACTGAGAACTCTAAACCTCTTTCTTCACCTCTGACCTGCTGGGTGGTGTTTGGATTTTACATAATTTTCTGAAATATGTCTAGTAAACAGTATTCATGTCTCTCAAACTTTTTTGGTGTTACAACCTCAAACTTTTCTAAACTTTTAGTAGCCTTTTATGCAATTGCCCAACACAATCCAATGAAGATGAAGGGTTGATGCATTGTTTTTAACACATGTCACAAATAAATCTGAAAAGTATGGTGTTGGGAATCAAAACTTGCATCAATGTTTGGCTTATGTAGTTATTAATAACTATGATGAATAACTTATTAATGAAATTATTAATACAGTTAGAGTTTCTTTACTTGAGTTGGGGCTCCATTCAGAATCTGGAACCATAAGTCAAATTTTGTCAGCCTCATGTGCAGGAATGAATTTAAAACTACCGTAGAGAAGAAACGTCACACAAGCAATAAATTCCAACATGCTTATTTTTGATTAAGTCTGGAAATTTAAGAAAACAATTTTCCAGATAAATTATCCCATAACCTATTTCTTCCTATATTAAACAGTGACAGTTTTAACCAATATGTAAAAATACCACATTTGATAAGTTACATGCTGCAGTTTTAAAGAAATGTGATTTATATCACTAAATTGCACACAGTAACTTTAATTATATTTTCAAACTTACTGATAATTGTGGAACAGTGGAGAAAATAGTAAAAAAAAACATATTTACGAATAATGTCAGTTTTGTTTGTTGACATTAATGTAAATTGATCAAGACAATGATAAATCAAAATTCTCATATGAAATGTTCACAATAAATGCCCATGCACAGGGATGTGTTAGCCCAGATGTGTGGGAAGCAGCTCATTCTTTTGTGTAATCTCTCCAAAGAGGATTGTGCATGTCATTAAAGGGCTAATAATAAATGATGGACTCTGGTGACGTGTCCCGCCGGCTCCAGCTGCACAGGTGTCAGTGACAACACAAGTGAACAGATGCTGCACAAAGTGTTCACCTCCAGGGAATCATCAGAAACACAGACAGTCAGATGTGTCTGGAGTCCCTCTGACGTGACCAAAAAAATAAATAAAAAAATAGCTACGAGTGTTGCTATGGCAGCTTGAGGATGGAGTGCCTGAGAACAAGCGGGGTGTGTGTTCCTGCTGGTATGGTGGAGAGAAGTGGGGGGGGGTGCTAATTGAGTGGACAAATAGGGGGGTAGCGGGGGCACTCTGACAAAGGGAGGATTGTGTGTCCATTCTGTCAGAAGGAGAGCATAGTTGTGTGTTGTTTGCATCACGCAGCTCCGTCCATTCTGGGAGGTTTACTGCAGAACACTTCGTCACTAAAACATGAGGACATTAGCAGTTCTGCTAAAGCTTCTCATCACCAGTGGGACGTCTTTGCTAGAAAAACGAGATTGTGTGTGTGAGTGTCCCAGTGCTACATCGCATGATTTCAGTTAGACCTCGCCTTGCAACAAATTCAGAGTGACAGCAGGAAGTGAGTGCAGTGTGACTGCTACTCCAGTCCCCTTCCCCCATGCAGACGGGACCCTTGTCATTATATAACTGTCTCTTCTGCATTCTTCTTCTCCTGCTCTCTGTGACACACTGGGATTGTTCAGTTGGGGGGGGGGAGTTGGTTCTGTCCCAGCCCAGTTTATTTCACTCATCTCTGGTGAAGAAAATTAGTTACATGGAATTATACCCCTACTCCTAAATGTTCTCTTTTTTAACTTTAATACATCTGTTTACAGTTAGGCTCTCTGAATAAAGTACTATACCTTATTCTTTCTCAGACATTCTCGGAGAAAGCAAGTAGCCTTTGATCTTCGTTGTCTGTCACAAATCAAATCCTTCGGGGCTCCAAATATGCCGAGCAGGACGTTGTTCTGACAAAAACAACATCTGTGTACTGTTACAGCTGCAGAGCTTGTTGCCATGGGATTGAAACTGCTCCTTTGCTCTTCAGGCACATTCTGTACGCAACTGAAAAATCAGGGCTTCAATTCAGGTAACGCACCCAGTCCTGAAGCAACAGAACACTGAGTTCCTTACCCTTGATCCCAATACAAATCAATCAAATTTCAATAAAATTTAATTTGCATAGCACATTTCAGCACATGGCATTTCAAAGTGCTTTACATCATAACAAACACAAAAACACAAAGTGATGCAACATAGAATCAATAATCAAAACATTACATTAAGTCAAATCCCATCATTAAATTCGTAATTGATTACACTTCAAATACAACTCTAAACAGGTGGGTTTTTAGTTGAGATTTAAAGGAAGTCAGTGTTTCAGTTGTTTTACAGTTTTCTGGACGTTTGTTCCAAATTTTCTTTTATTTTCATCTTATTAGGTTTATTTGATAGGGACAGATACGTATTAACATAGACAAACTGAATAAAGCGGCAGTCCCATGCTAGTGTCATGGTGCTTGTAACTTAAGCTAATTTGCAGCACTTGCTCCTAGTTGGGCTTTTTTAAACAGTGTATCTGAAAACTACGAGGCGATTTGTGGTACATAAAATCTGGATGCTGCTTCTCCATGTTTAAACATCCATCCATCCATTTTCTGTACACCCTTCTCCCTAATGGGGTTGGGAGGGGTGCTGGTGCCTATCTCCAGAGAACGTTTCGAGCGAGAGGCGGGGTACACCCTGGACAGGTCGCCAGTCTGTCGCAGGCACCATGTTTAAACAAACAGAAGTATTTTAAAGTCTATTTTCTGAGCTACAGGGAGTCAGTGTAAAGACTGGGGTGATGTGCTCTGTCTTCCTGGTTTTAGTCAGAACACCAGCAGCAACATTCTGGATCAGCTTCAGCCCCTCCATCCTCCATAGAGGATTGATATTATTAGGCAGACCTGAGAAGACACTGCTGCAGTAATCAATGCAACTAAAAAGAAATGATGAGTTTCTCTAGATCTCGCTGAGACATTAGTCCTCTAATCCTGGAAATGCTCTAATCCTGGAAAAGTTACAAAGAAGGCCGACTTTGTAACTGTCTTTATGTGACTCTGAAGGTTCAGATCAGAGTCCATCACTACTCCCAGATTTTAGGTCTGATCGCTGGTTTTTAGTTGTAGAAACTGAAGCTGTGTGATCTAGATCATTTCTGTATAGGTTCTAAGATAACTTCAGTTTTGTTTCTGTTCAGTTGGAAGACGTTTTGGGACATCCACACATTTATTTGTTTTAAGCATCTGTTCAGTGACTGGATGGGTTCAGAGGCAAAATCGAAATGTAGAGCTGTGTATCATTTGCATAGATATGGTAGCTAATCTTATTTCCTGTTAAGCACTTTGAACAGCCTTGTTGCTGAAAATGAGCTATGTAAATAAAATTACCTTGCCTTACCTTATCTTATAATCTGAACTAGCAGGAATATGTGTAGGTATTAGATAAGATTAAATACCTTACAATTTTATACTAAATATAAATATGATGATACTACAAGAAGTAGAAACTGCAAGGATGCACTGCTCATTGAACTAAAATATACTGTAAAATCTATTTAAAATGTAGAAGATCCATTAAAAATATGGCAATATGGCAAAAGGCTTTGCTGCTTTTTGCCATATTAACTGCAACTCCTCAGATGAAGGCATCTTCCTGCTTTTTCAGTCAAGCTGTTGTATTTTTTCTGTGCTTAATTTGATAATGACAAGGTCAGCAAAATGTACTTCAGGAAACAAATACTCAGACCTTGTCGTTTTTGGTTAAAACTTTACAATCACTTGCAGTCTGATGTGTTAACATGTAGTCACATTTCTGTAAAGAAATTCTAACTCTAAAAATAGCCTAGAGTTGCCCCTGGGCACAACCCACATGCTCAGAGAACTGCTTAACCCACAAATAAATTTTCATAAGTGTTGCAGCATCTCAGGTTGTTCTTTCCTGTTCTCACACTGCAGCTGATTTCAAAGATGCAGTATAATGCAAAATTTACTTTTTGAGCTCATGTTATGATGTCATTTTCTCATCAAAAACATATCTGGAGTGTTGTTTTCCCATGGCAACCATTCTGAGTGAAACCCTTGCATTCACCAAGTAATGTATTTTCCATGCAGCTCCTCGTTAGGAGGGAGCTTCCGCCTCACAAACCGTCCATCCTCCCGCAACTTCCCCACTCAGCTCCTTCAGACTAGCCAGAAGCAATTAGCAAATACCTATAAGAACTAAGCATTACAGGAGATATTTCTCAGTGAAATGCTCGTTAAAAAAAACATATCGTTAAAGGGTTAATTGGAAAGAGTAGGAGCTTCTTTGTTTCCCCTTCTAACTTTGTATGGTTTTAACAAATTGCATATTCATAAGATTATCATCATATTGTACAAATAAAACAAAATGTACTACTTCCTTTATAACATAAAGGTATAAACTCAAAAAACAGACAAGCACATCAAGGCAACATAAAGAGAGAGAAAAAAACACTTACAAAGAAAGCACAGAATTATTTATGTTTTTATATATCTGAGTGTAAAAATAAAGTAAAGAAAAGTGAGTAAATCAATAATAACAATAATAGAAGCTAATCTGGTACAGAGGAAAAGCTTGTTCATTTAGCCAACAGTTGTAGTGAAGTGTGTAAATTGCTCAGAAGAGCTGCGCAGTGACATCCTAATCTTCTTAAATTTAGGAAAATATCTCAGCCAAGAAAAGATCCCAAACAAGGCCAGACTATGAGCTTCTTAAAGAGACAGAGGCCTAATTTCAAGACGTTAATTTGCTTATATTTCCTTTAAGTTATGCTTAACATTTTCACAACAACTGAAGGTAATATTCTTGATTGTGCTATAAAATGGCACTATGTTGTTGGAAAGTACGTAGTACAGGCCCTTCAAATAGATCTGGGGTTCATATCTCTATCCTGCTTTCTCAGGGTGTAGCCTGGTTTAGTGACTCACCACTTCCGACTTTGATGCAGGATCGATTAATCTACAATAAAACCATGATGTCAAACTTAATTAATAAATAAATAAATAAATAAATAAATAAATAAATAAATAAATAAATAAATAAATAAATAAATAAATAAATAACGAAAATCCTCTCGAATGTCTTTGAGAGCTTAAAGTTATGATTTGATTTATATAGATAATCTGATGAAGGAGAGTGTGAAGAGGCCATTTACTAAAAAAAAAAAACAATCAGAGGATATAGGAGTCTAATAGGTGGTGATGATAATAATGGTGAGGGCTCTACTTAGAATTTGTGCGCGTCGCGGCGCGTCTCTGTGATGAACCAATGCGAATCTCCCAGTTCGCACTGCATGAGCTGCAGCGCAGGCTCAGAGCGGACGTCACAGCTCTCTCTCTCTCTCTCTCTCTCTCTCTCTCTCTCTCTCTCTCTCCGCACCTTCCCCTTCACGTCCCTTTTTTCTCCCCTCCTCTTATTCCACCGGAGCATCTCTCTCCTTCTGCTCTCCTTTCCTTCTCCACCGCCCACTTCTTCCCAGCCATTGATCCCGACCACTCACCGCACCGCCGCCTCATCATCGCGTTGCCCCGCTGCGCTTTTCTGCATTTTTCATTTCTTTTCTTTTTTTTTCTTTTTTTTTAACTAATTTATTTATTTTAATTTTTTTTCTAAGAGGACGAAAATCGGAACATTTTTATTTTTATTTTTATTTTTTTTCTGGGACTACACAAACTCCCTCCCCTGCCCCCGGCCTCCCTCCCTCCTCATCACCATGGCGAGCACCGAGGATAAAGCGGCCAGCAAGGAGAGTCCGTCCAGCTGGAAGGACTCCATCTACAACCCGAGGACCGGGGAGCTGCTGGGTCGCACGGCCAGCAGCTGGGGTAAGGATGCAGCTCTGCGTCCGGTGTTCTCCTCCTGTCAGATATTAAACCTGTGCAGCCTGATTTGTTTATTATTGTTATTGTTATTATTGATTTGTGTGCGTGGATGGCTGAATGAAGGTGACTGTGAGGCTGAGTTAGCATTGAGCCGTCCCAGGCCCGAATGGAGGTGAAGGATGGTCTAAAGGTGTGCCCAGGTCTCCTCTTGCTGCGTGAGACTATTTAGATTTCCAAACAGATATAATTTATATGTATCTGCAGAGACCCCCACCCCCCTCCTCTCTCCAGCCCCCCTGCTGACTGAGCTGCTTCCTTCCCATATAATCAGGGTCCTGCTGAATTCCTCAGCTGCATCCAAAGCTGATCAGGATGTTTATTTTTTTTTTTTTTTTTTTTTTTTATGTAATGCTTCTCCCTAGACTGAGGTGGTAACACCCTGCCCCCCCCAATTCCCCAACCAACACACACACACACACACACACACACACACACACACACACACACACACACACACACACACACACACTCTTCCCCTCACTGCAGCCGGCTCCTATAGGCTGATGCCGGCTTCAGTCAGGCTGCCTGGGCCCCCGTGCTGCTGTGCAGTGGGATGCTCCATTGCAGTTGCATGGCCGCCCACATTAGCATGCCTGTCAAGGTCAAATGGGATTCCCTCTCTCTTCTTTCTCTGTCTTTCTCGCACTGGACAGGTGCATTGTGGGATACTGCTGGAGAGCAATGAGGGCAAAAAAAGATAGAAGGGGTGGGTGGTTGTGGGGAGGGGGTGGCTGTCCTCCCCCGCCCCCGCCCCACACACACACACACACACACACTCTCTCTCTCTTTTGGTCCACTTAGAGGGCATCTCTGAGGTGCTGGTGAACCATTTTGATTCTGATGTTTCCTCGCTGTACAGCAGCAAAAAACTGCTGAAAAGTTTCGGGGAGTGGAAGGGGGTGTTGAGGAAAAAAATACCTATGATTGTCAGAGGTAGTGAATTTAAAATGGTGTCGCTTAAGTGGGTAGTTCTGTAGAACTGCAGCAAACCCAGACACGTCCCGCAGCATGCTCGACCCTCTGCCTCTGTACAAACAAACTTTACTGTTTCACAGAGAGAAGATTCGGCAGTATCAAAGTTCACACAACAAAAGTCAAAAACAATATATTAAAAACCAAGACTGCAACAATAATAGTAGTAGCAGCAATATTAATCATAATAATACTAACAATACTAATAATAATAACGTACAGTATTATTACTCTATGTTATTATTTTGTGTAATAACTGCACAGAATAACTGCACAGAAAATTCTGAGCACTTATTACAAATCATTTAGACATGACTTTTCACATGTTCAGTGTGCCTGTACATTATGTACATTTTTGGAAAAGAGACTGACTATTTACCCTGCAGTACATCAGTGCAGAAAAAAACAGATGTGCAACAACAGCAGAAATCTTACTGAAAGGGGCAGCATTATGTAAAGTCAACTTTTTTTAGCTTTACATCATGTTCAAATGTTATTCCCTCATCAAAACCACACCTGGAGTTTTACTTTGATTAAGGGATGTTTGAGAAATCCTTTAATCTCCCATGGCAACCATTCAGCTGTGCAAAACGCCTGGTTGGACCTAGCTCCTCCTTCGAGGACTAAGCTCCTCCTTAGAGCTGCAGTTTCCATGCCTCCCCTTCCCAGCTCAGCTCCTTCAGACTAGCCAGCAGCAATTAGCAAATACCTGGTGGAACTCGGCAAACGTTGGTAAAAACTTTGTTAAAGTTTTAATAGAGGAGCCATGTTGTGATGACTTTCTGAAGGCGGAGTTTCAGAGACAGAGCATCAATTTCATATGGCGTTAAATTATAAAGTCAATTTTATTTTAAGTCATACTTGATAATTACAGCATGTCTATAACAACTGAAGGTGACATCCATCCATCTATGTTCTTCCACTTATCCGGGTTCATGTCACCGGCGGTAGCAGCCTAAGAAGGGAGGTCCAGACTTCCCTGAAGGTGACATAGTTACTTAATTATTTTATAAAATGATACTCTGTGGCTGGAGAACACAATACTGGCCTTTTAAAAATGTTCTGTGTGTCCCCCTGACCTGCAGCCCTCATCCTGCTCTTCTACCTGGTCTTCTACTGCTTCCTGGCCGGCATGTTCACACTCACCATGTGGGTGATGCTGCTCACGCTGGACGACTACGTGCCTAGGTACAGGGACCGCATCCCCAGTCCAGGTCAGTGTCCTCCGGCTCCACCTAAAGGTCTGGCACCACCATCTGCTGCGAGCGGCCATGTTTTCTCTTTGAGGCATGCATTATTAATGCTCCTCCAGCTTAGACTCTTTCACTGTAAAGTGTTACTTTATATTGCTGCTTTTTGCATTGATCTGTTTTTAAGTTTCTTCCTGAGTGATAACTAGAACAGGATCAGCTCAGTGAATGCTTCCTCTAATAGCCAGGTTTTGGTTTCACTCTCACTTTATGATTATTCCACTCGACGTCTCTGTTTTGCAGGACTGGCGATCCGGCCAAACTCTTTGGACATCTCCTTCAACAGATCTGATCCACAGAAGTATTCGCAGTATGTCCGAAACCTGGAGTCTTTCCTTCAGAGTGAGTGCACTCCATGCTGATGACTTACAAAAAAAAAAAGATCTGCAGATGTCCTTTGTTTTCGTGGACTTGGATCTGAGCAGACCTCTGTCCACATCATGTCTCTATCAGGATATAATGACACGGAGCAGGAGGAGAACACGGACTGTTCTCCAGGAGATTACACCCTGCGGGAGGAAGGGGAAGGAATGTCGCAGAAAGCGTGCCGCTTCAGGAGAGCGCTCCTGAGTTTCTGCTCCGGCCTGTCTGACACTAACTTTGGATACCATGAAGGAAAACCCTGTGTGCTGCTCAAAATGAACAGGGTAAACGGCTTTCATGGCAAAGTCTGCCTTTTATAGCTGCTTACAGAAGTATACTTCATCTTTAAACTTTTTCACAAAACTTTTAGACTACAACCGTAAAACTGTTATGTGTTTCACTGGGAGTTTCTGTGATGCACTGTGGGTGGGGATAACGCTGGTCAACAGACAAATAATTGTCTTGTTTTTCAACTGTTTTAGGGTTATTTTGATTAGTTGAATCCAAAAATCACATTGGTTTTTCTCCATCACATCAACTTTCTGAACTATGGAGCAACATGAGCATCAAAATGGATGATTGTCCTCACATATGGAAAATTTGGGATCAATGAGTGATGAGCAGGAGGAGATTCCATCAAGACAGAACAGAGACGGAGAATTTTACACAATGAAGACGTGATGTTCAATTCACATTACCCTAATCAGTGTTTATTATTCGATTTACAGAAATCCAAGTTTGTAACATTTAGTTAAATGTTACAAGCCTGTTTTTGGATGAGAAATATTAATGGAAATGAACTGATAATGTCACAAAAATATCATCAATTTAGTTAGAAGATTGGATTTCTCTAAATCAAATTAGAATAAAAAAAACTTGACCTGATTGAGAAAAATGGATGTCAGTTTTGGAGTCAGTGTTGCAAAATAAACCTAAGTCAGTTGAAAAAACATGGACAACTTCCAAAAAACAATTTTTAACCCAGTGGAAAGACTTAGAATTAATTAAAACTACTTATTAGATTTTTTTCTTTTTCTTTTTTTTGGAGGGTAGGGGGAATTTGTAGCGTTCATAGCGCCACAAACACAAATTCTACTCTTAAAAAACGTTCCCATTTTTCAGTGGCTCTGTTAGGAAGCCACATAAAGAAATGTGATTTATATCACTAAACTGCACACAGTAACTTTAATCATATTTTCAAATTTACTGGAATTTGTGGAACTCTGGAGAACATAGTAAATTACAATAATGTCAGTTTTGTTTTTTAACATTAATGCAAATGTATCAAGACAACAGTTAATCTAAATCTATAAGAAATTTTCACGATAAATGATAAATGATAAATGATAAACAATAAACGATATGATACATGACCACTCGAATGATGGACTACCACAGATAACTGTAGTGTGCCAAAAATGTAACATTTTGCTCTAAATGCAAACTGCTGTGTGATTAAAAAGCTAAAACTGCACGTCCTCATGAACACAGCCTCCCATTGTGAAGCATGGTGGTGGCAGCCTCATGCCGTGGGAATATTTTTTCTTCAGCAGGAAAAGAGAAGCTGGCCAGAGTTGAAGGGAAGACGAATGCAGTTAAATGCAGGCAACACTGGAAAATAAAAATAAAAATAGAAAACTGAGGGGCTGTGAGAAAGTAGAGAGCTCCATGGTTCAGATCAAAGCTTGTTTTTGTCTTAGAATAGCCCAGTCAAAGTCTAGATCTGTGTGATGGCTTTAAATAGCTTTTTATTGATGCTCTCCATGCAATCTGATGGCGTTTGAGATACTGTGCAAGAAAACTGGGACACAAATGTTATGTTATGGAAGTACAAAGCTGGTAGAGACATGCCCTGATGGATTTTGCAGCTAATATTAAATAAAAGGTGTGGATTTAGCCAAATTATGTCTAAATAATTTTACCCATAATTTTATGACAAAAAGTCATATTTTCAGCATTTAGCTCCAAACTACATATTGAGTTAACAAGCATAATATTTAGGTTGAAGCTAAATATGTCACTTTAAACTAAATATTTAGCTCCAAATCAGATATTTTGCTAACACACACATATATTTAGTTTGAGGGTAAATATTTAGTAAGCAAGCTAAAAGTTTTTGCTTTAAACCTAGTAATTAGCTACAAACTAAATATTTATTTAGTGAGCCTAAGTTTTGTTTTGTTTGGAGCCATTAGCCTCAAATGACACAATTAGATCCAGACTAAATACTTACTTAGCAGGCCAAATTCCTATTTTGAAGTTGAATATTTGTTTAGGAAGCTAAATTTTTAGCTTCCTACTAAATCCAAATATTCCAAACCAAACATTTAGCCTCAAATCACACAATTAGCTCCAAACAATGTATTTATTTAGCAATCTAAGTATATGGTTTAAAGCTAAATATTAATTTACAAAGATTAATATTTTTGTTTGAAACCAGATAGTTAGTTTGAAGATAAATATTGAAGCTAAATTAAATATTTAGCTTCAATTTTAGTTTATAAATATTTAGTTTATAAATTAAATATTTATTTAGTTTATAAATTAAATATTTATCTTGGTAATTAGATATTTAGTTTTAAACTATAACATTTATAGATGAATTAATAACCTGGTGAAAATATGACTGACAAATTAACCCCCATTTTGTTTCTTATGACAGGCTGAATAATCCAGATTATTGCTGTTAACTTTTGAATGTGTAACTTTAGCAGCATCCCACAGCATAGCCTCTGCAATGTGTCTGATCAAAGGGATTTTTAGATTTCTTTCTTTTATTTTTAATTGTAGAAATCTTTGAAAACCACATATATAATTTTCCTCCCACTTCCACATAGGTCCTAATAAGCTATGCTGTCCCTTTGGTCATATTGTGTAGCTGCAATATGACAAAAGGTTTTAACCTGTTATGAATACGTTTGTGGGCTCAGGCTCCTAAACGATTTGATTTGTTTGTAGCGGTGCAGCGTCCTGACAGTGACCCTCCTCCCGTGTCTCTGCCCTCACAGATCATCGGCCTGAAGCCCGGCGGGGATCCCTACATCAACTGCACTGTCAAAGTAAAAACAAATATCAGAGCATTTCACATGCAACTTTCTTGTATGTGTATTTATGTCTTTTTAGTTCTTCCATTAAAAGCAAAACATATTTATTACCACTGTGGATTTAATATTTCCTTTGTTGATCTTTCATATTTTCCCTCTCTTTTTTTTTCTTTTTTTTGTGTGTGTCTTTGTGTCTCATGTCTTTTTGCATGCTGTCACTGACGTCTTTAGGGTAAGATGGATATGTGAATTATCAGGATAAGGCCAGTAGGAGTAAGAACACATTTCTGTTATGTAACAGGTCATTACGTGGGCGCCTCCAAAACCCATCTTAGTGGCATTTTAGAGTTTATTTTTAGCCTAACCAGTGCCGCTCTTTTACCCCGGAGATGTCACTTTTTTCAGACTAAACACAGAACAATCTCATTTAACTAATTCATTCAAATCTCTTTGCCTGGACCTCAGAGAGATGGTGCTTCTGCTCGCTCATGTCCTGTGTCATTTTGTCTTAAGAACATTTCACATTTGCTGTTAATTTAACACTAAACTTGCTTTTATCCAATGAGAAATTTAAACCTCCATGTATTCTTCCCTGCAGAAAGAGAACCCGATCCAAATGCACTATTTCCCCAAAGAGGGACGCTTTGACAAGATGTATTTCCCCTACTATGGCAAGAAAGCCCATGTAAGTATCTTATCTTCCAAGGTGCATGTCGATGTGTCTAAGAATATGTCTTACATGAGGCAATGAAATGCATTTTATGAAACATCAAATCTTGCCACACGTGTGTTTCTTTTGACGTTCACCTGTTCTTACAGTGTGTGTAGGAGGGAGGGTGTGAAATGTGTTGCCATGCTTTACTTTTGCAGCGATGTCACCATCGTGTTAGCCATCGGTTTAGCAATCACCTGATGAAATCGCTTACAGGTTCTTTACACAGTTTATTAGCAGGTGAATATTTATTCACTGAATTCAATAAAACGGTCAAAGCAACTGATTTTTCTAAATGCTGATGTGACATTCATCAGTGCAGACAGAGCATCAGCATAGCGTTGCTTGTTAAGCGGGTCGTTGCTTCAACATTTTAGTAGCACTTGCCCAACAGAGGCGTTGCACTTAAAACCAAACATTTACACATGCTCTACTGAATTAAAAGATTTTTTTCCACTCGTTAAGTCACCCTAAATAATAACCAAAACTATTTTTTTATTTCTTAAGAGCCACAATGATGTCAATTTATTATATTAAAATCAGAAGTTTGCATATATTTCCTTAGTCCTTGAAAGGTTTCCCTTTGAAAGTGTGTGACTCAGTTCAAATGTTTCCATTGTCCTCCCACAAACACGTCACAATCCATTTCTCTGAAATATGAACTGGTGTAACTGAGGAAGGTTTGCAGGTCCCTTCAGAACATTGGTTTTGTTGTAGTTAAGGTGCTTTTGTAGCTCATTTGAAGTAATTTTCTACAAATTAGCTTTTGTCGCTAATTTGGCAGTATGCTTCTGGTCATTGTCCATTTGGAAAACTCACTTCCACCCAAACTTTAACTTCCTGATTGACGTCATGAGATATATGGCTTCAATATTTCCACATAATTGGGAAATATATATTAAGATTATTGTAAAATGCCTCAATAATCCCTCTTGAAGCATCAAAGCACCAACATCATGAAGCTGCCACTTCCATTCTTCATCAGTTGGGGTGTTACAATGAACGTTACGGCAACACAGTTTCACCAGTCCGCTGGACACGTCGCCAGAAATGAAGGTCTTTGTCTCTGAGTGCACTGGCAAATTGTAATATATCTGTTTCGCTTTGTTGCTCTTTGAATAACAGCTTCACTAGTTGGCCTTTCGGGCGCTATGAATGGCCTCTTCACGTGGGCTTTGGTTTTGTTCTGCGTCTATTTACGTTTCACCCTTAAAGACGTCCAGCTCTGGGACACAGACACAGGGGGTGTCTTCCTGAACATTTTGATAGTGAGACGTCCCAGTGTTCAGAACGGTGTGCATGGCACATTCAGACATCTGAAAGTTACACCAAACGAGGAGCACAGGCATGGAGTTACACAGTCGTAGAAGTTTATAAAGCCATCGTCGTGATGGTGGACACAGATTACTGGAAGGCATCGTAAAGTTAGCATATGTAAACTTCAGAGTTCTAAGAAATAATAAGGATTTTAAAAATCTTTACTCTTCTCTCACTATTCTGTCATTTAAGACAGAATAATGGAAATCCTCACAAATATTTTTGGTTCCGTTCCTAGTACACTTGAAATAAGACAATAATAAATTTTAAGTGACTTTATAGCAAACTGCTTATTTTAAGTAAATAATTATTTAATGGTGAAAAGTACTTGTTCCATTGGCAGATTATTTCACTTATAATAATGTCATAAGTTAATTTATCTGCCAATGGAACTGGCCTTTATATCTTGCTAAAATGTTACTTTTAAGTTATTTTGTTTTATTTCAAGTGTATTCATATATTTGCAGTAGAAACTAGTGTTCCATACGGTACTGCATATGAACGATCTTTATTTGCCGTGACGTGAGCTCAGCTAGCTTACAAAAGGACTGTGTTTAAAATAATAATAATGGATAAGTGGCTTAAGACCGGCTCACTCAAAAGAAAAGCTGAAGATATCAGTGGAAGGAAAACAATGTCAGGAATACTTATACAATACTACTTATATTTAATTTCCCTTTGGGATAAACAAAGTTTTTTTTTTTTAATTGATCAGAGAAATTTATGTCTGCAGGAATATTTTTCCATTTTTGCAGAGCTTTTGTTCTTATGGCATTATTACGATGCATATCATGCCACCTGCACACAGATGATGGTCTGTGGCTGTGCTGAGTGACTTGGCGGTGAGCAGTGCTGCGCCCCACGCTGACTAACTACTTAAAAAACTATTATTTACATCGGCCTTTCTTCATGTTGAAAGAAAATGTTAGTTTCTGCCAAAGGTCTACAAACGTCTCTGTTTCTTTTATTGTGCTACTAAATTACAAATAGCCCTAAAATGTTATCAATGTACACAACACCTGTAGTGGAAAACAATTTCTTTTTTTGATTTCCATGTGTTTTCCGTTGTTGGAAAGCTTACAATTCACCCTCAGACAATTCAAAATGCCCCCAAGTATCGTTCATGGTACTTGGGGGCCATGAATGTTTTGTAATTGTGCCAGTCACATTTACAAAACACTTCCCAAAGAAGACAGCAATAAATGAGTTCCGAGACTAACATTTTCAGTTCAGACTGTATATATTATGATGTTGTGCTATTGTGGGAGCAATAACACAACAATGGGAGCAATTGTGGGTTAAGTTTGAGAAACACTGTCCCAGTGTCAGGACTGATGAAAGATCATTTCCTCCCCGACGCAGGAGAACTACGTGGAGCCGTTGGTGGCTGTGAAGCTGCTGTTCACCAAGGAGGACTATAACAAGGAGCTGGCCGTGGAGTGCAAGGTGTACGGCTCCAACCTTCTAAACAACGACGACAGGGACAAGTTCCTGGGCCGCATCACCTTCCGGATCAAGGTGGTGGAGTAAAACAAAAAAAGGCGGAGGCGGATTGGAGGAGCGCACCTTGCTGGCCCCTGAATTTACAAACGGATTTGTGATTATGAAAAAATTTTTAAAATTAAAAAAAAAAAAAAAAAAAAGGAAGGAAGTGTCAAATATGTCACAAAGATGTTTCTTTTCTCTCTTTCTTTTCTGGATATGGTATCGATGTTTGACGCAGGTAAATGTTTGGGCCTCCAAACCAGGCCGGTTGGTGGCAGACGTTGCTTTGATGACCTTCCTGACCCTCCCATCTGATTTCTTGCTGATCTCCTCAGAACAAGTTTCTGAACCAGATCCTTTCCATTTCCTGTTGCACCGTTCATCCTTTACTTAGCACAGGTCCCTTTTTTTCTTTTTTTAGTGCTGATGTGATTTAATAACCTATAGCCATTGGAACCAAGCTACTTGGAGCTGTTGTGTGTAATTGTTGATACTTTTTTCTTTTTATTTGTGACTTTCCTCCTGTCAGGATGAGTGTGTTTCCACCTCTGAATCTGTGTGAAGGGCCTCGTCACTCACTGATGTTGCGAGGACTCGGGATCTTGCTGTGTGTAGAGCTGAAAATGTAGAACATGTCCAACGTATCTTTCATCTCAAAAGATTTCATCAAGTCATACCTTGATACTCGAGTATAGCCAATGTATCCTTGTATATGAAATGCCAATTCCAAACGCCCTTTTAACTATAATATATAGTGAACTTAAGCATATTTAGGGAACTATAGGTAGAAATTTGTCTTGCGGTGCACCAAGCTGCAGACCAGTCTTGTGCCGTCCTTCTGTCTATCTGGCTGTTTGTGTGTCTGCATGTGTGTTTGTCTGTCCGTCCATCTGTCTGTCTGTCTGCTTGTCTTCCTGTTTGTCCACCTCTTGCAGCTGATTGGGTGAGTCCCTCCAGGACTGGGTGAGCTGCGTTGTCTGGGGCGGCGGTGTGTGTGTGGATCGTGAGGGTTTGCTGTTTTGAGGCGGAGAGGAGCTGGAGAAGCATAGCGAGAAATAACTTCACTGCAATATGTACTGTATATCTCTACGTGATCTGTATATCTATCTGGGTCTCAAAGATTGTTTGTTAGCTTACTCTCTTCTTCAGCCTGTTTATCTGATTGTCTGCTGATCTATTACTCTTTAATGTACATATATATAAATATATATACACATACACAAACACGTACACAAACACACACACACACACACACACACAATATCTACCATATTTATCTAAGTCACACTGTATTTTTGGTCACCAAACATAATGTCTGTGCACTGTAAAGAAATATAATTTAAGCAAAGATTTACATAAGATTATCTTATTCAAAGCTATGTTTACACAGTCTTAAAAGGAACCTGTATTTAAAGGAACAACCTGTAACATCTCTTCAGGGTGCCTTAAGACCTGATGAAATAAATTGTGATTTTGAAGAAAAAAAGCCTCATAGTTTCCTGTGTTTTGTAGTTGTTTCATTTCCATTTTAGCTCGTAGAAAATACGTTTTTGCCTTTGTAAAGTCTAGCATGTTAGCATGCTAACTTATTTACTTTAACTTTTATGTCACTGTAGACAATAATAACCCCAAATACTTCAATGTTCCGTCTTAAAGGGATATTTTTTGGAATTTACTGAAGCTGATTCTTTTCTTAAGAAATGATCCCAAGCATCCTCCTCAAATAAACTGACAAGAAAAGGACAGAGAATCAAATGTTTTTTTTTCCATCTTTAAGGTATATTGTTCACTTTTTCACTGACATAGCAAAGCACTTTTTAATTTAAACGACACACCTGCTTTTTTTTATTTGTCATATACTCGCCTGACTTAAGCAATACATCAGGTAAGATACTGTCTGCTTATGACTGATTAGTGTGTCTCCACTTAGAAATAAACTCACCCTTTTCTGTTTGAGTCATATTTAGTTTTTCAAGTATCCTTTTATTATTAATAACCATGACTGTCAGAGCGCTTGGGTTCCTCAAAGAGAGATTGGAAGGATTTCAAACATAATCATTATTTCTAGTAAGTTATTTCTAATCTTCTGAAAATTATCTTACTTCCAGAGCCCTGTTTTATATGATAAAACACATGCCATCACATAAGATTAGTATAGAGATATGCATAAACAGAATGAAAATTACATTTTTATCTTCAGATAAGTTATTATTAACTGGGTGGTGGAAGTAATTGGACTGCAGATCGGGTTTTTTCATAAACATAAATACGAGTTTTTTATAACATACTCTCATTTTTATTGTAGTACATTTTTGTAACCACGTGGGGGCGCCAGAGAGACCAAGCAGTCACAGACAAGAAATTAATGGAAAACATTGTACATACACCACCACCTTAGCGTTGATAGGGGTAAGACAAAGTTGATATCAATTTAACGAGAAATATCATCTAAAGGTTCATCTACAGGTAAAGCCTTTGTTCCACTGTAGATCTTGGCTGGCTTTTGGTAGTGTTACAATAATCCATCACTGCTTCAATAATGTGATGCTATTTCTATAAACGTTGCTTGTAAATAGTGGGTGGAATTAGGATCATTATCATGATAAAAAATTGAACCATTTCTGCAATTTTCAGAGCACAATCTGAAGCTGCACTCTTCACGTCATGATTCAATCAAAGCTGGACATGAACTAACTCTGACCTCTTCAAAAGACAACCATAAACATGACATGCAAGATTGTTTTCATATGCAGTAATCACAAACTTTAATGTATTTTGTGTCAAGTAAAAAGATTATACAGGTTGTTCTCAACATGCCTTTGTGATAAAAGTCTGAAGATTGTGTCTCGTGGACCCCTAACCTCTTGATGCAGGTACAGCTGCAACATCTGGTTGTTTATTTTGTGACTCTTGTGATTTGAAAAAAATGGGTTTCTATTGCAGTTTTGGAAAATACATCTGTTCAGTGCATCTGAAAAACCACCTCATCCTAGTGCAAAAATGGTCAATCTAAAACGTGATTATTTTTTTCATGTATTTCCATTAAGTTAATTTAGATAGAATGGTCATGTTGGGCCTACTAGAGGTGCTGAGGCCAGAAAACATCAGGAACAGATGTAAAATAAGTCCTATCTTCTTTCTGTTCTGAGTCTTCATCACCTCCATCACCTATGAAGCTGCAGAAGCTCCATGCGTCGCTCTCAGCTGTTGCAGGAGCAGCAGCAGTAACAGCAGCTCCTGCTAAATGTGAGATAATCTCCTGGGCTTTAGCTGCAACAAGAATTCACCTTAATGTCTCCTAAGCTCTTACTGTCCTTGACTTGAACGGCAGTAAACAGCAGAAGTTGGAGATAAAAGCTTATCCCACTTGGTATCTCAAGTTTCAATGAGGCCAATAAAATATATCAACATTTTACTATATCCTTATTCAGGAAATTTTTTAAGTGTTAATCTTCAGCTTTGACAGGTAAATAATATTTATTTTGAGTTTTTATTAATTTCTTCTCCCAACATGCAAAATAAAATGAATATCATCAACTTAAGAGCTTTGAATGATGCAGTTCTTTTTAGATTGTTAAGATTATTACAACAAATTCAATGAATGAAATTATTTGGTGAACTTAAATCAACCTTCCACATTTACACACAAATATTCTGATGTGTGTCCCTCAACAACTTGTAGAAAATCCACATCATTTTCATAACTATCTCCTGACCCAATTCTGACTGGATAATTATCCATTCACCTTACTGGAACTGGCAGAACTTGGTTGATTTGATCAGCCATCAAGTCATATTAGTGTGGAATATCCTCTCTGATGCCCAGTTATTGAGTCAGACTGCAACTGACTTCAGTCAGAAGCCTCTTCAGATTTGTTGCAAGACTGACTGCTCCCGAGGATCCTTTCTTCCCACAGCGTCACCATCCACAATTCTCTGAAGATACTTGAATTATATGAGTTAAGACAATAAATTAATAAATCATTTTAATTCAATTTAATAACAAAAACTGCATGACATAGTGAAGGAGGACAGCTTCTGAGTTCTTTGACTTTAAATCAACAGCTAGATGTTTGAAATATTGACGCATCTGAATGTTCCAACAGGTCAGTGGTGCCAAACACAAATCAAAAACTGGTTTTTAGAATTGATGAAACAGGTTTAAATTTTTTGGACAGGCACCAACTTCAGAATTATCGAAAGTCTGGTGAAAAAGCTAAGTGCCAGGAAACTGAGAGCTGGGCTGTTACCTTCCCATATGCAAATTTAGGTGTTTCTCCCACTTACTTTGATTCCTCTGGTAGAATTTCAACCTGGCCAATCAATGAACAGACAGAGAAATCGTGAACTAAACTACAGTTTAGTAATGGCAGTGGAGGGAGTGAACAAAGCCGTTCAGTCCGTGTTGGCCACACCTCCAAATATTGAATCAACATAAACAGCTGCTTTGTTGGGATGGACACTTCTCTCTTCATAGTGGAGGATGGTTGTTTACAGCGCAGGCCTTTTCCGGTAAGCTTCACAGCACACAACTAGTACATTAAATACTCACAGACAAAACATTAGTTATTGGCTAGCTATCATTGGAAACAATCATTTCTGACAAGCTAGCAAACTTGCCAATTGTGGTCAAATATTTTTGTTAGATCAGAAAGCAGGTTGTTTCTCTGCAACTTGTTGAGAGAGATTTAACCAAATACTAGTGCGAGTCTGTATAAATTTCAACCTGTATATTATTTCAACCTCGTCTGGAGAAAATCCATGTAAATTCAAACTAGTGGTCAAATATGAATAATTGCTTTTAGCATTTATTCACCACTTTGAAAAAAAAATGCTGTATGCAAATCTTCACCTTGCACATGTCAGAAGCATTGAGTTGCCCAGTACCTTGAGGCGATTTGAAACTGGTTTAAACTAAGATGGCAAAAGGGTTATCACCTAATCAGCTAAAAGTTTAACTTGCCAATTTGTGGAAACCAAGACCTGGCTGTAGTCAGCATCTTTAGAGGGGATTAGTGGGATGGATATTTTTAGGATTCACTCCTGAGTCCTCAGCAGCACCGTCTCTGTGTAAATATAGTGACGGCGAAGTGCGTAACGCGCCACAATCTGGGCTGTTCTGACTCTGGCAGCAGGTGACAAAAACACATGTAAACCA